GCCTGACTCAGACATGCTATCAGCACGACTATGTTTATTGCAGCCTTATTTATCATTGCTAAGATATGGAACCAACCCAGATGCCCCTCAGTAGATGAATGGATCAAGAAAATGTGGTATAAAAACAAAATGGAATTCTATGCCTCCATCAGAAAGAATGATATTGCCCCATTTGTTAGGAAATGGAAAGACTTAGAAAAAATTGTATTAAGTGAAGGCCCAAAGAAACTTAGGTCCCATGGTTTCCCTTATTTGCAATAACTAGGAAGTTTTTTTAAAAAAAATTAAAACTCACAGTAATCGTCCCTTGTTTTTGTCTTTTCTTTCAGGTTTTCAAAACTCTGGGCACAGATGTGGTGAAGTCTGCATTTGAAGGTTACAATGCTTGTGTCTTTGCATATGGGCAAACTGGATCTGGAAAGTCATACACCATGATGGGAAGTTCTGTACGTTGTCTGAGCTGAATAGGGAGGGAGTTTCTTATCTTTCTCTAGACTGATAAAAATAATCTCTTTATCTACTTTAACTGCATTGCTTTTCATTTTCTCATCAATAGTAATAAGATAAAACCCAATAATCAGCTGAACTAAATTTCCTTTGAGAGATTTAACATGAGGAATAATTTTAATAGGCACAAGTCCCAGTTCATTTTCTGTTTTTAAAGACCTATACTCAGCAAGAAAGTATGCAGGGCCCACAACTAATTTAGTCTCCTTTATGGCCAACATGACAGTTTGAATAAAATTACCAAAGTCTGTTCTTTTTTTTAAATATATATATATAATTATAGAGAACATTTCCCTCAAGAAAAATGTAAAAAAAAAACCCCAAAAACCAAAACCATTTTTCATGGAAAGATATTGCATAAATCCAGCAAGTACATAAAAGAGTTACGTAGTCTATATAGAATTCATCTAGTTACAAACATAAATGGTTTAGCAGTTTATATCAATTAATAAGCAGTAATATCCTACTTCCCCTAACATATGGGAATGTAAATATGTAGGAACTTTCTCTTGTCGTGTATTTACTACAAAATTAGACAGTGCTTGTGTCTTTTATTTTTCTTTGCCACTGGAAAAGCATTGTTTAATGAATGCCAAACCTGTGCCATATTCTAGATAGAGTTACTAACAGTATTTTGAGGGATCCCGTCTTGGACTCACATTTGTGGCTTCATTGTTGAAGGTTTCGGGATCACAGAAGTACTGTACTGGTAGAACATCTCTTCCCAGATTGAATTGTTTCAGTGCATGTAACATGACCTCTTAAATCTGGGCTTTCCCTCCAGCTGAAAAGCAAGAAACAGAGGAGAGAAACATTTGTTACTCTTTCTTCCCACTTTTCTTCTATGCTTTTGGAAAAAATATCTCTAACAATTAGTTGTCTGTGTATCTAGTTCCCTAGAAACTACTTTATATTACACATTTATAACTGTTAATGAGAGGTGATTTTCTCTGACCTCACAAGTATGTACCACTTGGGCTCGCTCTATCTAAAGATAGGAAGTGAAAATATTGTGAAAGAGTTTAGTTTTTCTTGTTAAGCATTTACATGGTTCAAATGGCACAAAGAAAATCTCTAAAGCAATGGCATTAGTTCATTTGTTCTTTGACTGGGGCTTTGGGTAAAAGTTGAAAGAGAATTGTTGAGAAAACTTTGATGCTCTGAGGTCAGATCAGATCCTTCTGAGGTTCACCAGATGTTAGTGCTAACTGGAACATGATGATTGAATATGACACCCATATTGCATAGGAGATGTGATGTACTTCTTTCTAGGAGGGCCATCTTAGGGATTTCTACATCAAAGCAGGGACATATTCTATGTTTTAATGTGGTTCTGTTACCTAAGCATTTTTTTTTAGTGCTAGGGTTTGAACTCAGAACTCAACACTACTAAACAAGTGCTCTGCCAGTTTAGCTACACTGAAAGACCCTTTATGCATTGGTTATTTTCATGATAGCGTCTCACTTTCATGCTTGTGCTGCCTGAACTTTGATCCTCCTATTTGTGCTCCTTTTTGTTGCTGGGATGCCAGGTACACATCACTGTACCCAGTTCTTGTATTTCTCAGTAAGCTTAGGATAACAGGTATACACAGCTATGCCCAGCCATTGATTGAGATGGAGTCTTCTAAACTTTTATATCCAGGCTGACCTCCAACCATGATCCTCTGATCTTTACCTCCCAAATAGTTAACAGTCACAAACTTGAGACATCTGGCCTACTTTACCACCCTTTTTTCTTTTTTTGGTGCCAGTCCTGGGGCTTGAACTCAGGATCTGGGAACTGTCTGTGAGCTTTTTGTGCTTAAGGTTAGCATTCTACCACTTGAGCCACAGCTCCACTTCTGGCTTTCTTGGTGATTAACTGGAGATAAGAGTCTCACAAACTTTCCTGCCAGGTCTGGCTTTGAACCATGATCCTCAGGTCTCAGCCTCCTGAGTAGCTAGGATTACAGACATAAGCCACCAGCACTCAGCTCAACCCCCCTAACTTTTTTTTTTTTTTTGTCAGTCGTGGGGCTTGAACTCTGGGCCTGGGTGCTGTCCCTCAGCTCTTCAGCTCAAGGCGAGCGCTCTACCACTTGAGCTACAGTGCCACTTCCAGTTTTCTGGTGGTTTATTGGAGATAGGAGTCTCACGGTCTCTCCTGCCCGGGCTGGCTTTGAACCGCAATCCTCAGATCTCAGCCTCCTGAGTAGCTAGGATTACAGGCGTGAGCCACCAGCGCCTGGCAACCCCCCTAACTTTTAACACAGTCATTAACTCTTGAAGTAGTTTTCTTGCTACTTTTTTGTCTTCTGTATTCACTCCCTTTTTAATAATTTAACTAAACTTTTCCTTTTTTATTCCTAAAAGATTTATAAAACATATTAATGAGACGTGCATTTTCATCTGTCATCTTTGCTACAGAATAAATCTCTTTATCTTTGTAAGGCATAGTTTCAATGATTAATGATTCTGATAACTATATAGCCCAAGTCTAGACATGTGGAAATTAGAAGGCTTTATCCTCTCCTGTGAGAGAGGAGGAAGCGGTCCTAGAGTGGTAGGTTGGGGTTGGCATGCAGGCCCCTTAAGTCCAAGTTCACTCCATCAGAATGCAAATTCAGTAGTCAGTTGCTTTCATTTCACATGACAGCTGTGACACTCTTCCTACTGCAGGGTGATTCAGGTTTAATACCTCGAATCTGTGAAGGGCTCTTCAGTCGGATAAATGAAACTACCAGATGGGATGAAGCATCCTTCCGCACTGAAGTCAGGTAGGGTCTGTGGCCTGCTTGGTTGGGGCTATGGTCGCTTGGCTTGCACTTAGGTATTAGTTTGGGCCTATGGATTCCCAAGGAAAGAGCCTGCTGTTTTTCCTCCTGCGCTTACAGTAGTTGGGAATTTACCTGACAAATCAGGTTAATTTCAATGACTTTCTTGGATACAGTTTGGATAAGAAATAACTGTGGTTGGAGGTTTATCTCAAAGTGGAGTGAGCCCTCGACTTTCGTAAGAGTACCCAGTTACTTGTCTCATCCCTTTCACAGAATAAGATTTGTGTTATTTGCTGTGTTGGTATAATCTCCATAAAGCTAAGTTACAAATACATCTGGATGGTGGAGGTGCTCTTTCCTCTTTGAAGTTAAACCTGTGTGGAGTTCAATCTCTCCAGTGATTTTTAAGGACAGCCCTTTCAGTCCTCTTCTCTATCTGCTGGGCCTCCTGGTAGCCATATGGTTTTGGACAAATTATTTAAAGCATGCAAGACCCCCTTGTCTATCTCTGCAGAGAGTGAATGGTAAGCAAACACCCTTAACTGTAGTAGCTGTGAGCTGCTGCTTGGGACTGTTGTTGTGGTTACTATTATTAATGTCTCATTATTTCTCTGAATCTCATTCTGTTGAAAACTTTTAGCTATTTAGAAATTTATAACGAGCGTGTGAGAGATCTACTTAGGAGGAAGTCATCTAAAACCTTCAATTTAAGAGTCCGAGAGCATCCCAAAGAAGGACCTTATGTTGAGGGTAAGAATGAATATTTCACAGCCTTCTTCCTCCTTGGGATTTGTGTAAGAACAACGCATACAAGGAAAAGGAAAGGAGTATAATGGTGAGATTTTTAGAAAGTTATTTACTTTTGGAATTTTGTGATAGGGAATTTTCATATTTTACTTGAGATTTGCCAGTATATTTCTTCTGGCTTTAGGAGACCTGTGAAGTTTGTTTCCAATGCTTTCTGGTAAGAGGCATAATCCTATAAGTTATCTCAAGGGTGTTGGATTTAGCAGTGTGTCTTTATTGACCTGAATGATTGTAGATGAAAAGAAAGACATGTTCAGACCTCTTGCCTGTTAAGAGGAGTTTTCACATAGGCTATCCCTATAATGCATCTGTCCTTCTGTACAAAAAGGAGCTGAGTCTTGCCTACAGGAATCACACATGGAAGCATGCTTTCATGTGGACATTGACCTTGATATGTTTCTCTGGAGTAACACAGCTGGTCATTGCTCTCTTACCTACTATGAATGCCAATTCAAAGTAGATCAAAGAACTTAATGCAACACTTCAAAAGTTTGAAACTTCTTCAGGAAAGAGAAAATACCAGAACTTATTTGTATAGGACATAATTCCCTAAATGGAACTCTAATAGCTCAGTATATAAGATTGAGGATTGAGAAGTGGGAGTGCATCAAGCTAAAAAGCTTCTGCAGAGCTAAGGATGTAGTCACTAGAATGAAGAGACAACTACAGAATAGGAGCGGATCTTTGCCAGCTACACATCTGACAAGGGACTAAGAAAGAATATACAGGGAACTTAAAAAATTAAATTCCCGAAGAATTAATAGCCCATTTAAGAAATGGATAGAAGAGCTCCATAGATATTTCCCACAAGTACAAATGCCTGATAAATACATGAAGCCCATCAGCATGCCCATCCATAAAGGAAATGCAAATCAAAACAATATTCAGATTCCATTTCTCTTCAGTCAGAATGGCCATCATAAAAAACAGGCAAATGCTGGTGAGAATGTGGGGGGAAAAAGGAACCCTATTACACTGGTGGTTGGACTGTAAATTAGTTCAACTCCTGTGGAAATTGGTATAAAAATTCATAAAACAAAGGACTACTCTGTGATCCAGCCATACCACTCTTGGGTATTTATCCAACAGGATGTAAGTCTGGATAAAATAGATGCACTTGTATGCATGGTTATTGTAACCATGGTATCCATGGTTATTGCAACAATATTCACAATAGCCAAGCTAAGAAAAAACAGATCTCTTCAGTTGATAAATGAAAATGTGATATATAATCATAACATTCAATGTTCCTATGTGTAAGTTACTTGAGGGGATTGGCGGGATTGGAAGAGAGTAGGGGGAGAATGATCAAGACACATTTCATTCATAAATTGACATGTTGAATTGAAACCTCTTTGTAACAACTATTTAAAGATAATATAAAATATGATAAAATATGTTCTTTCTCTTATGAGGATATTAGATATGAACACTGGACACATAAACACATACATGATTATATGCATACACATACATGTACATATACTTGTATTGCAGGTATAAGGTATGATGGTGAAACCTCTTTGAAGAATAAACATTCATTGTAACATAAAGAACATCAAGAAGTTGAAGTATGGCTGGCCTGGGGTGTGGGTAGTAGTGGGAGGGGACAGGTGAATAGAAAGGAGGAGAGGGCAAATATAGTCATATAATATATGTAAACATACACAAATGGAGCAAGGAAACTCCATGAGTCTGGTTGAGGAAGGAGGAGGAGGAAAGGTATGATTGATCAAAATGTAGTGTATCCATAAACAGACATGTTAAAATGAAACACCCTTGTGCAACCAGTTGGAGCTAATAAAAGGGAAAAAGAATTGTGAAGTTGCAAGTCAGATCTGAATGATGATAATGGATTTTATGTCTTAAACAATAGAATGTGAAAAAAATGGGAAGAATAGTTTCAACTTAAGTTTCAGACAGATGACTAATTTTTCAAACATACAAAGAACTCCTGTGAATCAGTAAGGATATATCCAGCAACCAAGGAGTACAAGAGACAAAGGCAAAGAATGGAGTGTTTATAGAAATGGGTGTTTTAATGATTTTTATTTGAGGTGTTGAGGAATTGAACCCAAGGCTCCTTATGGTAGCCAATCTCTCCACAACTACCTCCAGTTCCAAAGAGTACATTTTTTATTGTTCTGCAATGCTGGGGATTGAACTCAGGGCTTGGTTCATGTATGCAAGACAGTTCTCTAACACAGCCTTAAAAATGCATGGGAAGGCATCTTGACTATGACAGAATATTTTTTTGATATGGATTATATGAAAAAGTAAGATGCAAAATGATGTTTATGGTATGTCACATTTTGTTGAGTGTGGTGATGGTGTTAGGGATAAAATGCAGGGCCTCATGCATGCCACTGAGCTCCATTCCAGTGCAGTGTGCACTATGGCCCCATTGCTTTGAAAGAGAGGAAAAGTTGGTGATACACACACACACATACATACATACACATGCATGCATGTATATGTTATACCTAATGTTCGAGTTATTTTTTGAAGTATGTCTTCATATACTGAAGACATAGACACTGATAGTATTTAGTTATTTGACAAAAGGGGGTAAGGGGAGCCTTAAGGGAGAGATCGAACCGTACACCGTGTAGCCTTTACCTTTGGAATCCTATGAATATATAAAATACACACTTAAAGGATTAAAAATGTGCTTTTACAGTTTTGCATAGGGTATTTGCCTTTACATTTTTCTTCTTCCTGCAATGACTGCTGTTCAGAAGTTGATATTAGTGGCCTTTAGTAGATAAGATGAGGTAGCTGAGGTCCATTAAGGTTAGGAACCTGAGCAGCCACATTATATGCCACTATGGTAGAAGCAAGTGAGCCTTAAGTGGTTGACAGATTCTAGTCATACACTATTTCTTAGGGGAATTTCCAGTCACTGTATAATGGGCAGATTTCTTCACCCCCTCCTCCTCCTTTTTTGTTTTTTTTTGTTCCTGCCAGACTTATCCAAACATTTGGTACAGAATTATGGTGATGTGGAAGAACTTATGGATGCAGGAAATATTAATCGTACCACAGCGGCTACTGGGATGAATGATGTCAGTAGTCGGTCTCACGCCATCTTCACCATCAAATTCACACAGGTAAGGGCAGCCAGTAGGTAGCCATGGGGCCAGCTGTGTGTAGCTGGTTGGCTTCCCTCCTGGAGATCTTTACTTGCTGATTAGCCCCAGCTGAGGATTGATCACTGTTGAACCAAGAGCAGGAGCAAGTAAAGGTGACAGACTGTCATTTCCTTGTTAATTAGAGTTGAACAAGTGCTGGGCACTGAGTTTCTCCGTGGTTACAATCACAGTAATTTTTAAATATCCTGATGGGTACCCTTAAGAAATATTGAGCAGGCTTCCACCTTGTTTGAGACATTAAAAAAAAAAAAGCCCAACTTGCTCTGTGCCTAATTAAGCAAAAGTTTTCATTGTTGTTAGCACTGTGGGAGATAATGGATTGCAAGTCCGACCAGCTGGAAGCCAAGGTGAGTAAGTGAGGGCAGCACATTATCACTCCATGGAGCTCACCCCACCGTGTTGATTATGATTATTAGAGTGATAGCAAAGGACAGAACATTTATGTAAGTGCCAGTGTGAGAATTCATTATGGCTCACATGCAGAAGATGGCGAACGTGTGTGGAAAAGGGTGAGGAAAGTAGTTTGGCCCTGGGGGGACTGGGAGAACATGGGAGGACTATGTAGATGCAGAGCCCCTTTGGCATCAGTTGTAGGAGTTGGAGTTCTTCTCACCCACATCCACCCTTGGGCACACCAGAAACAAGTCAGCATTTTTAATCACCTAGGGACATCAGAGAACAGGACAGTTAAAAAGATTCCCTAAGGTCAACCAGAACACCTCTGTACACAGTCCCTACATCTTTTACCTTTGTTCCAGATCCTGGGTATTTAAAATGATCATGATATTTAAAGGTACTGTTCTGCTGTACATAGAGTCTGGTGACTGTGTTTTTTCTTTTTTTTTTTCTTTGCAATTTGATTCGTAATGTACAAGGTAGATTAAAAGAAGCCTTTGGAAAAGTAACATTGTGAAACAAAATATTTTCAGAGTGGTGAAATGATCTTTTACATATTTGTCTATGGTTATATTTTGGAGAGCCTTTGTTGCTTTGAATGCTGGAGCTTCTAGACAAGAATAGGCATTTTTCACTCCAGAGCATACTTTAGTGTCTACCTTTATATTCTTCTAGATTTGCTTTGTTGAGAAAGGCAAGGGTTTGATTCGTGGTGCGATTCTTCAGAAAGCTTCGGAATCACATAGGATGGACTTCTGTTGTACTGAACTTAGTTTTGGAAATTTTTTTAAGGAAGTCTGAAGGCTGGTAAAACAAAAAAGGAGAGGAAAAAACAATTAACCCTGAGAAATTTCAGTGGAAAGCAATTGGTTTTTGTTTTATAAAGGCCATTGGAACCCTTTGGGTCTCTTCAGTTTTTCTTTCTTATCTTACCACAGGCAAAGTTTGATTCTGAAATGCCATGTGAAACTGTGAGTAAGATTCACTTGGTGGATCTTGCTGGAAGTGAGCGTGCGGATGCCACTGGTGCCACGGGGGTCAGGCTCAAAGAAGGAGGGAATATTAACAAGTCCCTTGTCACTCTGGGAAACGTCATTTCTGCCTTAGGTAGGTGCTTGCTCACTTCCTGCTCGTTTTTTTTTTTTTTGTGAAACAAAATTAGAGGAACGTGAAACAGTGATTCTTTCCTCTCCCTTGTTTCTATCTTCCTTACAGCTGATTTATCTCAGGATGCAGCAAACCCTCTGGTGAAGAAGAAGCAAGTTTTTGTGCCTTACAGGGATTCTGTTTTGACTTGGTTGTTGAAAGATAGCCTTGGAGGAAACTCTAAAACCATCATGATTGCCAGTAAGAGTTTTTAAGTTATTTTCCTGAGCATCTGAAGTTTCCTGTGAATTAGCTGAAATTCTTTTAAATTGAAATTGGGATATAGCATCTTTATATTAAAAAAATTACTGGTTTATCTACCTTGAAAATCACCTGCATCCAGAAACCCAGTCTTATCCCTTATCTTATCAACTCTTGGATAGATGTATATGGTCTGGGGGCTGTGGTGACCTGCAGAGACTTTCAGTGTTTCTTTACATAAGTTAAGAAGGTAGAAAACTTCTAAGTTCCCCAATTTGTACTAGAAAATCATTATAGGGGCACAAAGTAAGAAAGAAATGATCCAACCTGTTCTATTTAAAGCAGTATGTATGAGATTTAAAAGTAAAAAGCATGAGGAAAAAAATCAATAAACATAACAAATCATGGTAACAATAATAATACTTTATGTCTATATTGACAAATTAGCTCTTAAGAAATGCAATAGAGAAAAATAACAGAGGAGATGATTGCTGAGAATTTATGAATTCTTTCTTTTCTAGCTCTATTTTCTTGTCCCTATTCCCCTCCCTCCTCTTTCCTTCCCTCTCTCTATTTTCCTTACTGCCTTTACCATGCCTTAACCAAGGAGGGGGGAACCTACCTTGGGATATACTCTCCATGAACAATCAATAAGTCTCCCAGACTTAAACTTGGGTGGTATGGGGGTGGGAGGGATAGGATTAGTCAAAGTTTCCATAGGAAAAGGATTAACTAGTCTACTGACTCCATTGAATATATTGGTGTGCTCTGTGGCTGTTTAAAAATGATAGGCTTTGCCAGAAGTTCTAGAAGCATTTTAATCCCTGATTAATGTTGATATACACAAGTAGTCTTGAATGATCCTCTTATGTTTTCAACTCAGAAAATATCTTAACTGTGGCAAGGTAGCATATATCATATATTAAAGTTGGGTAGCTGGCTGATAAAAGTCTTGGGAAAAAAGCAGAATGAAATTTGGTATAGTGAGCACCTTTTCCTGTAAATCTTAGATAATTTTTAATATTCATTATGGTGGCAATGAATATTTAGTTTATCCAGTGACCTGAGTTAAATCTGACTTTTAAATTGCAAACCAACTTTGTGTTAAATGAAACATGGAGTGCTGGATAAATTATTTTTTTGAATTCATTCTTCACAGCCATTTCACCTGCTGATGTCAATTATGGAGAAACCCTAAGTACACTTCGCTATGCAAATAGAGCCAAAAACATCATCAACAAACCTACCATTAACGAGGATGCCAACGTCAAACTCATCCGGGAGCTGCGAGCTGAAATAGCCAGACTAAAAGCTCTGCTTGCTCAAGGGAATCAGGTCAGGTTTTTCTGAGATTTATAGATTATTTTCTTTGAGTAATGGCATCTATTTCTGGATCTTAATGAGACAATTATCTCCTAGTATTGATTTAAGTAAATAAGTGCTAAGTAAAGCTTCCAGTGAGTTAGCCAATCCGTCCTTCACACCGGCTCCTATTGGCCTTTGCATTCCTTATGGGCTCTGTGTCTAAGATCTTATCCACTAAGCCCGAAATGATTAACAATCTTAACAGTTATCAATTATGGATGGAAATTTAGCATGCAATTGGATTAGCGGCATAATCTCCATTAGTGGGAAGAAGTTGAGATGCTTTGAGTAATATTTAAAATTCTACCCAGGCATTTTATGACTTTACAGCTCATTGAACAGAGAGGAACAACTTGTGTAAACACCTTTCTGAATGTCTGTTCCTTCCCAGCCATCACAGAGGAGGTGTGAGGACTCAGTGACAGGTGTGACACTGAGTATCTGCTGCCTGGCTGCAACACTGGCCCTGGGGCCTTTTACATGATGGTTGCAAGGGATCACTGGGGTTGAAGTGAGGAGGCCTGCTCTTTGTGTTTTTTTCCCAGCAGGCTTCCTTTTTGTCCATAAAGTTATGCTGTGGTGATGACTTAGTGTGAGCCAAGTTCCCAGGGGCTTACATAGGCTCTGAAGAGAGGCCACAAGTTAGGGTGGGCTTTATAAACCTAGGATGTTAGACTGCACTTCGAAGTAAAAATACATTTCATCTGGTTTTCTTAACCCACAAATGGATGGATGTCTTTAGAATATCATTAAAAGGCCTACTTTTCTTTCCATGCAAAATGGTCTCTCTGGAACAGTGCTTTCTGTACAGGAGTACATGGCCTTGGAAGCTCTTGATGTTCCATAGTTTGATCTATGAAAATATCAACAGGATGAAATCCTCACAGAGGTTCCTGGGCCCTGAAATAGATCCATAGTCCTTTCCCATATGATGACCAACAACAGTGAAATAGGACTCCTTCATGCGCTGAAAGATGTCTCCACATACCTTTACTTGGAGAATGGAGCTTCCCATGTACAAAAGGAAATTATCAGAATGAGCAGTGCACTTAAATAGCATGTTACAACTTATAACATGGATCACAAGTCAATTCATTGATATGATTTGTTATCATGGGAATCCTTTCTTAATCTCCATCCTTCTTTCCTTCCCTCCCTCTCTCTCTCTCCTTTCCTTCCCTAGGTTTGAACTCTGTTTCCTATACCAGACAGGTGTTTTATTGCTTGAGCCATACCTCCCAGACTTCTTTTTTTTATTGTGAAAATACCTCCCAGACTTCTATTTTTAGGTATTCTTTGCCTAGATTCTCTACATTTTCACCTAGGGCCAATCTTGGATCCAGATTCTCTTATCTATGTCTCCTTAGTAGCTGAGATTGCATCCTTAGGCTTGTTGGTTGAGATAAGATCTTGCTAACTTTTGGCCTGGGATGGCCTTGAACCACAGTTCTCTTGATCTCTGCCTCCTAAGTAACTGGAATTATAGGTATGAGTCTCTGTGCCTGACTCTTTAATGTTTCTCAATCATTATTTTTCTAAAGTAAGCATGTAAAGATGATTTGATAGAGTCATCCAATTTTCTATATGTGAAGGAAAAATTTTTTGAAGATTCTCAACATTATCTTCTTTAATTTATGAGGTTAAAAGAATGAAAGGAAAACAGAGAAAATAAACTAGAATGAAGAGTCTTATACAGGCAGCAAAACTCTATCGAAACTCTCAGCAATGTCTTCAGAGGTATTAATATGCCAAAGCATTGCCTTTAGATGTTTTTGTCTTGTTTCTTTCATGACCTTAGAATACTGCTGTAATTAAGGCAGTATTTTTATTATTGTTATCTTGGCATTGACGATGGAAAAATATATTTTAGAACACATAAAGAAACGGTAAAACTTGGGTAAGTTTAATATGTACATTACAGTGAAAATGCGAGTCCACTATAAAATAATTTATTGGTGAGACAATATAGGCTTATTCTAAATTTGTAATGCTTAACAGAATAAGCAGGTATTTCATTTAAGTGCTCATTAAAAATATCTGAATAAATCTTCCCCAGGACATTGATCCCCCTCTGGGATATTCTTTTTTTTTTTCCAGGGCTGAGGACCGAACCCAGGGCCTTGCCCGCGCCGGGCAGGCGCTCTTCTGCTGGACTAAACCCCCAGCCCCCACCCTCTGGGATATTCTATTCCAAATGCTGCTATGGTTCCTTGAATATTTCTCAAGTCCAAATTCCATTTCTAGGTTATTTAAGTACAGCCAAATAAAAGCTCCTATTTTTTTTGTCAGTTGTGGGGCTTGAACTCAGGGCCTGGACATTGTCCCTGAGCCTCTTTGTGCTCAAGGCTACCCTCTTCCACTTGAGCTATAAAGCCATTTCCAAAAGTTCCTTCTTTTAATAATTTCCTATGTTTGCTTTTGCAAATGTCATGGGTTCAACTTTTAAAAGCAGAAAACCCTGGCACATATTGTGTTGTTTTTCCTACTCTGTAGGTAGGGACATATAGACATGTATGTAGCTATATAGAATATGATATGGTAGTCACTATAGTCTTTTATATGTATAATTCCATCAGTGGTTCACTACTAAGCTGTGAATGAAGTAGACATTTCTCAGCTTTGGTAGAGAAACAGAAGCCATATAGTAGGTTTTGTAAAATTGGCCAAAATAGTTTCATTGAATATTTTGTATGAAACACCATGCTGTGTGCAATGACACTTTGTAGTCATGTGTTGACAAAGCTTCTGTACCTCCCAGGAAGGGCAGATTTTACTTTAGGTTAACCTTCATTTTCAATAAACCTGATAAATGGAGTTGCCAGCTGTAGATCAAAGCAACATTTCTAATGATACAAATGACCCCTACCAACTTACTTCCAGAAAAGATGAAGTATATGCAACTGTAAATAGCAGCTGAAGGCAATGACTCTTGTAACTGGGTGTGTCTCCTAAAGGCCTATGGCAGATGAGCCTATGGCATTGTCACAGGAGATGCTGGTTCTGTGGGCTAGTTTCTAAACTGAGACGGGCTCTCCACACACTCATGAGATTATTCCTCATACATGAGCAGTTATTCAAGAGGGCCAAGAGCCATTGTTCCTGCATGGACTGAGGATTGCTGTGGAGACTTGTTGTCAGGCTCTCAGCCATCAGGAGGACACCTGTGCTTCTCTGCCAACCAGTTCTGCTTTCTGTGGCATACACACAGATGCCCAGTGGGGCCCACAGTCATCTTGTTAGCCTAAATGTTTAACTGAGCCAATGAAAACTGACTGCTTTTGTTTGAATAGAAATTAAAAACATGCTGCATCTCTGGGGAGGACAACTTGCAATTAAAAAGGAATCACACGTATAGATGACTCACAGATTCCCCTCCCAGGAGTTTATTTTGTTGATGTAGCCTTGTACACTGTATGCAGTTGGTTTAAGTGTAATCCGGTAGAGCAAAAGTTTTGAAAAATAAAACTGCATTTACATTAAGAGGATAAATTGTAAGTGTATAGAATAAATCAGAGGAAAGCATATATAATGAAATAATACCTAATGGAGTTAGAATTGTTAAACGGAAAGAAGCAGTTTTATTTTGTCTGATTTTCCCCCAGAAATTGTTGATTTAAAAGCCAGTGTGTGGGCCAGGATGTAGCTCAATGTCAAAGTGCTAGCTTAGAAAGTACAACATCATGGGTTCAATCCCCAGTACCAAAACAGAAAGGACAAAAAAAAAAGTCAATGTGGATCATATTATTTGTTTAAAAACACACTGAATACATGCTGTATAAGACCAGAATAACTTCAAATTTACTTCAAATTGGAAAAGAATGACTGCATAGGCAATGGGAGACTTCCTTTCTGCTTTCCTGTGACATCTTTGGCAGGGAGGTAGAACAGGGAACACCGAGCTCTTAGCACTCTAATCAGGATGAACAAGTCAAGAGTGCAGCTGAAATCCAGTCTGGTTTCGTTTTCTTCTCATCCCTCCCAGTTCTACTCTGATTTTGGCCAATATCATCCTTACAGCCATTTTCACACTACACCAAGGGTAAAGATAAGGAGCTAGATAAGAAGATTGTAATGTCATACATTGAATAGCACCCAGCAGGGTTCATAAATGAGTTTCACTCACCTAATTTCAATGTAGCTAACCCCCAAAGTCCATAGTTAAGCAAGATTTAGGCTTCTACTTTGTGCATATTCAAACAGACAGGTCCTTATGACTTGGGGTTTTAGATTGTGTTTGGTTTTGGTAAAGATATTATAATGTTATGTTGTTTGTTCTCTTGATTTGTACTGCAGTGTAGATTTACAAGAAAACCATGATTTTTAGATAGTGTAAGATATGATATATATCCCATGGATTAGCGACTTGGTGATAACCCATACTCTATGTTGTTGTGTGTGAATATTACTTAGTATTGTATTTTCTAGTTTGTAGAAGCTTTTGGTAATTATTATGTTCATGGAAAAAATCCTCGCTGTATATTATTGCTTTTTATTAATTGTTGATATCCTTATGTGTTGAATTGCAGATTGCCCTCTTAGACTCTCCCACAGCTTTAAGTATGGAGGAAAAACTTCATCAGAATGAAGCAAGAGTAAGTGATGATTGACTTATTTTTTTTGACATTATAATGTGCATTATGTTCTTCTGAAGTTCATGCTTTTTAGTATTTCTGTTGGGGACAGTTTTTTTTTTTTTTCATTCCATGTATCCCTCCAACCCCATGATTATCTTTAAAGATGCACAACGGTTACATTTTCTGTGATTTAATAAGTGTGGTGATTTATGTGATGTATAACTGACTTCAGTAAAATTCACATGCAGGTCCTTTTGACAAAGCAGTGGGGCCACTCTGGCCCTCAGAGGAGACAAGGTCCTGGGCCAAGAGAGGCCATGTTTCACATGTACTAAATGGCAGTGGTCTTCCCAGCGCAAGGATGAGCACCATTTAGCTCTTGGACATTTCTAACTTATTTTCACTGTTTGGGGGCTCTTTCATAGGGAGAGGGGCAGAGATTAACTGGAAGAGAGAACATTATAGCAGGGGTGGAGGGTGGAGGGAATAAAACTGATGCTTGTGTCCTGGTGTTTGAAAACTAGTTCTATGGCTGATCTGGTTCTATGTTACTTTTTTTTTTTTATGGTCCAATTGTGGGCCTGAACTCTGGACCTGGGCGCTGTCCCTCAGCTCTTCAGCTCAAGGCTAGCGTTCTGCCATTTGAGCCACAGCACCACTTTGGCTTTTTTTCTTTTTGCTTATGTGGTGCTGAGGAATGGAACCCAGGGCCTCAAGCATGCAAGGCAAGCGCTCTACCACTGAGCCACCTTCCCAGCCCTCTATATTACTTCTTTAAAAATAAAAGGAAACAAATCTTGAGGAAAGGAGGAACAGACATTGGGAATATTTTTTTGGAGTCAATTTTCTTCCTGGTGCTACATGATTAAAAAAATTGGATTGTGTTATAGTATATACTCAGTAATACACAATGTGAAAGTTGTAGCTAGGAACTTGTTGACACTTCTCTAGATAATTAGGTTGATTAATATGCTGATAATGGCATTAATAAAAAACATTAGTTTCCTTAATCTATTTTGCTCATGAAATTTTATGTTTTAGTGCTTTCAGTTTTGATTTCAAGTGCTATGAAATGCTGGGGTATAGCAATAAATTGTTTATCAATTATAGTTTTTAGAAGTACCTAGCAAGTTAATAGACTTCAATAAACATTTTAATTTGAGTGCATTTAACATGCTGTGACAGAAATGACTGTGTCTTATTCACAACATTTTCTAAATATTTGCCTGTTTTTTTTTTTTAACTTTTTGAAGTTGTTTGCCATCTGGTTGGTTATACATCTCATCATCTGATCACATTGCTAGAATTAGTGATTTATTAAGATTACTTGTATTAAATACAAGGGTGCAAGGCATTTTTATATTTTTTATAGAGTTTGAAATATTTGAAATTGGAAAGGATTGTTTACTGACTCCTATTTCTTCACTGAGAACAAATACAGTTGATATTTCTTCAGTTGGTGAAATACTGAATCATTTGCTCAGATAAATTGCTAGTAAGGATCTGTGTACTGGTTAGTATCCATTAATTCCACACGCCAGTTTTTTTCCTTTCTGTAGGAAGGAAAGACAATAATATCCACTCTCTAAAATTTTTTCTAGAACAAAAAACCACCACCCTCCTGACATTTGATGCTATCAAGAGTCTGGAGTTGGTATCAATGAACTGCAGGGTATGACTTGCTTCAGATGAATCAATTCAGTCTTACAGCAGAGAGCAAAGTCAGGGAGACATTTCTATTCTTGTTTCCTTTTTCACTAAGAAGATGGTAGCTTTTGACACTTAAGAACTAGCAAAAGAAGGACAAACATTACAAAAAAAGTCAACTGAGAATCTCTATAGTATTATTTGAGATAAAGTGAAGAGTGAAATGGCCACTGAATGATAGTGTGTGGGTGGGTAAGACATGCTGGTTTTCTTTTGGTGTAGGCCCTCCATTTCTAGACAACAGCATGCCTTCTTTGGTCAGGGTTGCTGACCAATGACCTATCCAGTTACCACCACTCATGGTGCATGTCATCTATGCACCTTTGTGGCCTGGTTTATATCAGGGGCTCCTGGGTGGGAGACCTGGAGGCTCAAAGTAGGCTAGTTTTGGCTGTAGAGCAGGGGAGGGACAGTGACAGGCACAGAGAGGAAAGGCCTTGGGAACATGACTTTGAACTTTGAGCTCCTGCTAGCTTCTTTTCCTCAGGGCACCTTTTTATTCTTTTTTCCTCTGCCTCTCAATTCAAGTATCAGTTTCTGCTTCTCAGTGAACTAATCATCAGAGTCATCTAAAACAGCTTTCTGGAACCAACAGAAAATTTCTATTAACTTGGACAAGCAGTTTTTAACCATGCTATATTCAACAGCTAGGGACATTTTCTTCCCTAAGTTACTGCCCAGTAAAAAGAAGCTGATTTTTATCAAAAGAAATTTGCTTTCACTAAAAGAGTCAATTAAAGAACCACTATATATATATATATATATATATATATATATATATATGTATGTATGTATAGTAGAGTGAGATTTATAAACCCCATCAATTAGCTACAAAAGCAAATTATCTCCTAAAAGAGAACTGCACCATCAAGGTGATTTAATCAGCACATCTAATTACAAAGAAAGGTAAATGATTATTTCTTAGGACCTAAAGTAGAATCAAGGAAAATTAACCCATCTAATAGGATATTGTCATCCTTAGGTTCATAATTTTAGCTAATAGTTCAAGGCAGCAGCTTCTAGTTAAGTACACTATAAAAAAAGACAATATTGTAGGTGATTGGACAAATTGCTGTCTGTTCTTTTCTTTGCCCTAACGTAGGATAAGATAAGGTAGGATAAGATCAGTATGTATGATTGATTTTTGCTGATAGTTCTTATAGTAGAAAACTACAGCATATTTTTCTTTTTTTGATTTGTATTTTTTACTAAAGTTTGTAATCCAATGGACACACAAAACAAAACTGCGCTGAGGAAAACAGTTTCATAAATTAATAGTGTTAGGAGGTCTGGGGGCGGTCTGGGTCGCAGGAGGAGGGACTGGCTACAGCATATTTTTCTATAGTATATAAGAATTTGGAAACATTGTAGAAGTCATTAATTTTTGAAAAGTAGAATAACTATATATACATATATGTTTGTTTTTAGGTTCAAGAATTGACAAAGGAGTGGACAAATAAGTGGAATGAAACCCAAAATATTTTGAAAGTAAGGACTATAAAAGGTGTTTGAGTTTTACTGTGCTGGCTTTTTACTTCCCCCTTGTCTTCTCAAATATATCAATAATAAGCTTTACCTAAGGTAAGATAAATGGTTCTGATTAATAACTCTTTTGGTATAGGAGTTCTGGTTTGGAAAAGTAGATGTTAAAGCTAGGAGTTTAATCTGTACAGATTTTGTTAAGATTAAAGGTGTTAGCTTTCATTGTTGGCATTTTCCATTTTTGGTTCAACATCAATTAGGACTAAAGGCATCTACTATTGCCTTCTTTTTTTGTTAAGGTCAACATAAAAACAATATATTAAGTAAAAATATTTTCTAAAATAGTTTATAGAATGTGCTTACATAGATAGCATGGCTAGATCTTGGATATTTTTTTTTTTTATTTTGGGCTGAACTCTGGTCCTGGGCACTGTCCCTCAGCTCTTCAGCTCAAGGCTAGTGCTGTATCACTTGAGCCACAGTGCCACTTCTGGCTTTTTCTACTTATGTAGTGCTGAGGAATTGAACCCAGGACCTCATGTATACAAGGCAAGCACACTACCACTGAGCCACCTTCCCAGTCTCGATCTTGGAGATTTTTAAGATAATAGTTTCCAGGAGACTTTTTTTCTGAGGCTGGATGGTGATGGTATTCATTTCTGTCAAGATTCACTATAAAGGATGGCTTCCATTTATTTATGGTCTGGACTTTAAAATATGAATTTTCTGGCTTCCATTTCTCCCTGGCTTTGTTGCTAGAAAACCTCTGTCATCTTGTTGAGTGTCAGCTATACCAGGTATGCAGTTGAGTTTGACTTTTTTGTTCTCTTGACGTCTGACTGACTTTATGAACTAGAGAAGGCCATGTAGACCAATCTGTAGTCTGTTTTGAGGTCTGTTGAGTTTGAACTTCCTCAAAGTGTTAAAATTAAGCTTGATCTAATGTTGGTGAGTCTAGATTGATGAGCTTTTAACTTGATCTCATCTCAGGTTCCTGGCACATCCAATCACTGGTTCATAGGGGCCAATTTGAAGGCCCAGATTGGCTGCTAAATCCTGCATTATCTAACAACTGCAGCAAAGAGCATGGTCAGTGTTATACTAAGAATTTTCCTTGTGCCATCTAGGCTACCTCTCTTCTCTGGGTTAAGAGGCTTTCTTATGGAGACAGACTTGTCCTCATGAAGTTGTAGGTGGCAATAGGTTGGAATGCTTCTAGAGACTTCTTCCTAGCTAGAGAAAACCCTGTGCTAAGGTGAGAGTTTACACATCCAGATTTCCTTCTCTTTCCTCTTGGTCATAATAAGAATGCCATGATATTTTGAGGTACTACACTTCTACAGCCTTTCCTTTTCTGACTTCCCTCCCTTTTTGGAGATTGAACCTGGGCTTCATGTACCCTAGGCAAATGCCCTACCACTGAGCTACAACTTCAGCTGCCTTTGTTGAGAGATTTTAGCACATGAACCCAAAGCCTTTATTTCCTTTTCCTAATAGGGAAGGAGTAAGCACCACCCCAGAGGTACATAGTTTGGTGTTGAAGCTGCATCCACTCTGGACCTTTGAAGACCAAGTTGTTTTCACTTCATGGGTCACTGTAATTTCCCTCAGGAAATTTGTCAATGAGGGAGGATTAAAATCTGCTCCATTTAAAGGAAGAAAGAAAAAATGGCTACTATACCCCTATGAGAAAAATCATTAGTATATACAGTGGCCAGGCCAGCACTGCAGGCTCTGCAGCAGTAACTAGAAAGATTACAACCTCATCTCCAACTGCTTCTGCTATTGCAGGAGCTCACAGAGTCACTGTATTTTGTTATTTTCATTTTTCTTTAGTTATTTATTTTTTGATAGGCCCTTGGATCCAAGGCCATGCAATGCTAAACAGGTGCTCTATCACTGGACTGTATATATATATATATATATATGTGTATATATATATATATATATATATATATATCTTTAGCCCATTATCGTGATTTTTGCTGGGTATTATAATATCTCTGCAGAAGGGTCTATCCTGAAATTCCCAATAGTGACTCTTCTGAATTTTACCTATATTTTCTTCCTGTAAGGTGATTCTGGATCCTGATGTTAAATCTTCCCCTAATTCCAGTCCAGTTTTTCATGGATCTTTTATTTCTTGTGACTTTTCTACATGTGCTAGGTGTTCAAGTTTATGAGAAAGGCAGATACTTTTCCTATTCTTCCCTTCTCTTGACCTCACAAGCCAATCTTACATTTCTCTGCTATCATTTGTATGTTAAATCTGTAGGCATTTTTTTGGTCCAAGTTTGGTATTTTAAGGTATATCTGGACCTCTTATTAGGAGATGGTGTCTGGGGGCTGTGATGGAAAGGTCTACTCACATATTTTGAAACATTTCTTTTCTTTTCTTTTTGCTTATGTGGTGCTGAGGAATCAAATCCAGGGCTCATGCATGCAAGGCAAGTGCTCTACCACTGAGCCACCTTCCCCGCCCTCAAATATTTTGATAAGCACATTTTCAGGAGATTGATTATTGTGCTATCGGTGTATGTCTGGGGTTTGTATTGTCCTCTATATCTCTGCTGCATGTTCCATTGTTGATAAATGGTACCAGTAATGCTTCATTAAACCCACCCCAACTTTGGCAGTTCTCTGTGCTACATATTTACTTTTCTGGTTTTAGTTGTGGTACTTGAGATAGGCTAAGGATAGGAGTCTAAAGTCACTGTGTTGAGCCAAGAGCCCTTAACATAAGAGTTATTCTTGAAAAATCTCTTGAATTTCCTATAATATCACAACATCCTAAGTTCCTCGGTGCTTAGGAGAAGAAATAACTTCATTCTTTTGGATGAGGACAATTCGAGGTCTAGTCATATAATGGGCGAGGGATTCTTAGACCTTTCGGCTATGTGTATGTTCTGAGGAAAGGCACCATTTTTTTCCTCTTTTGTGGCTGGAACTCAAGAGTCTCACACTTACTCATAATACTTGCTGGTACTATAGCATTTGCGCCATGCCTCTGGTTAGCATTTTGCTAAGCCAGAGATAGAGATTCACAGTCATTTTTCTGCCCAGGCTACCTCTGAATTGGGATTGGATTTCAGCTTCCTGAATAGGTAGGATTATAGGTGTGAGCCACCTGTGCCCAATGGCACCAACTGTTTTTGACGGAGAACAGCTGTGTGGTGACAGTGATTGGATCCTTAGGCTTTGTTCTGTGAATCTTAGAACTTAGATCTCCCTCTCAATGAGTCATGATCCTCCTCCAGAGCTGTCCGTAACCTAGCCTGGAAGTCATAGAGGATAGTGTCCTCTTTCTTATGTCCAAGTTAGCAGGATCAGAGATGACAAGGTCAGTTACTTTGAAAATCCTCGGCTGCAGAATGTGTCAGCTACACATGAAGCAGGCCTAAGGCTAGTAGATAATAAGGGGAAGTTTTATTGTTTCCTTCTTTGGCCCCTTTATCTTCATTTCATTAATCTTCATTTCCTCCACTCCCACTCCCTTGCTTAGTCAGGAAACGTGTGGTCTCCTATTTAGTCTCATCTGTCCTGTTATAGTTTTCTCTGCCTCAGCCCCCCTGGCATCCCCTCCTCACCCTGCCTGATGGCATGCCGGTTCCTCAGTACCCCAGGGAGTTGGGTAGCATGACATCCCTTGGGCATTGCTGGTGTCGCTTCTTTAGGAATGCTTTGCCCTTTCTGTGCCTCTGTCAGAATCTACCTTGAAGCTCCTGGTTCCTTCTCCCCCTCCTCAGGATAGAGACTGTTTTCTTTCCTCTATGCTTTTCTAGCATTGGTTTTGTATCCAATGCAGCATTCATCATCATCTAAGTTAGGTAATTTTGGTCTTTCTCCCTCTGTGCTAATGGTTATACACAGGAAAGCAAGAACAGGAGCTGGCCAAGGACTGTATCTATTTGTCATTCTGTGAGCCAGCTCCTACAAGCACAGCTTCTCACACAGCAGCATGCAGTGAAAATTTGTGAGGTTAAACTTAGAAGCAAAACCATAAACCTTTGTATTAATTTGCTAAGGCTGCCATAACAAAATACCACACACTGGGTGGCTTACATATCAGAATTTATTTGCTCACAGTTCTGGAGGCTGAAGTCCAAGAGCAAGAGGTGGGCAGGTTTGCTTTCTCCTGAGGCTTCTCTCTTTGGCTTGCAGATGGCCTCCTCCTCTTTAGAGTCCTCACATGGCCCTGCCTCCTGTGTGTTCTCCTTTTGGGTGTCTCAGTCACCTCTTTTTGAGGACAACAATCCCATTGGATGAGGACCCACCGTCAGGGCCTTATTTTAACTTAATCACCTTAGCTAATATATTTTAACTGAATCAAAGGCCCTGTCTGCAAATATGTCACATTCCAAATACTGGGCTTAGAACCTCAACATGAGTTTTGGGATAACACATCTGAGCCCACAGCAGCCTTGAGCCATATGAATGATGTGGCTAGCAGGAGGGCAGGCGGCATTTCTGCCCTAGTAATGCTCCTACCCATGTTCCTATCTTAATTTATCTTACTTGAAAGTCTCAGGTGAGACTGTGTAGTTTTTAATTCTTAGAAGTATAGTTTCTTTTGATAATAGACTTGGCTTTCATTTGGATCAGTTAGGTCCTTAGATGCTCAAAAGTGTGGTTTGTCGACCAGCAGCCTCAGGATCCTCGGTGAGTTGGTTAGAAGTGTAGACTCTTAGAGTTCTCATTCCAGACTTCCTGAGAAAGAATTTGCATCTCTGGGGATGTGTTTGCATCTCCAAGTAGTGCTGTGGCAGACAGGGCACACTGAGGTGAGGTGGAACCATCCTTTCCTGTCTGCTCTGCCTTGTGTTGTGGGCGAAGCTGACTTTCCCTGGCCTCCTTTTTAGACTCTGTGGAAGGAGAAAGCAGTCAGACCAAGCTTCACCAAGGATCTCCTTTTCTCTATGGTCCTATGTCCTGCCAGTGAACAGGCACTTCTGCCTGGTGCCTCAACCCTGACCTCTAGAAACATCCCCTCCTCTCCAGCAATTCTG